TAATTTCGTGAATTGTTCTTCATCTTTCTCAATTAGATTGGTAATTTCTTGAAGACATTCATTTTCTTGAGTTAATTCTTCTAGTTCTTGTTGAAGAGAATTTACTCTTTCTAATTCTTGTTCAATTTGTTTGTCTAAATTTTGTGCTATTCGAAGTTCATTTAAGTGTAATCGTTCAATAACAATTTCTTCTCCTGTTTGATAAAATTCTTCACTTGTTTCTTTATACATTCGTTGCCAACAATTAACACACCAAGGAACATTAATTCCTAATACATGTCTCCATGTTTCCTGCCATTTAACAAAATCTGGTGTTTGTGAAATATCAGCAATAATAGGTTTATCAACTTCTTTTTCTTTCCAATATGATGAATGAAGAAATGATGTAGATCGTGTTAATATTGGTCGTTCGTCTGTTTTTCTTGGATCAGATGCTGGACTTGTTTGGAGAGAACTTATAGATTTATGAAGTGAAAGTGTAGGTGACAAAGAATTGTTAAAGAAAGAAGATGAATAATTAGAAGGTGGTGATAAATATGTTGTAATTCTGATTGATCTATCATTTTTCTTTGGTGGTGTAATACAGTCTTTTGGAGGTGAAGCAATAGCACTCGTAATAGAAGAAGGAAGAGTATAAATTAATTGTTGATGAAGGCGTATTGGCTGTTGACAAATAGTACATTTTAAAGGAACAATCTCCATTGTTTCTATTTCTTTTCTTTAATAGTTCTTTTGGTATAATAATCAATCTTATTTTTTTCTTATCTCTTTCTTTTCTTCTTCATTAAACTTCTCCTTCTTTTTTTAATTGAATGTTCAATTTGTGCTATATATAACAAAATACAAATGTCTTTAGAATTATTTTTGTTTCAGTGTTTAAATAGAGTCTAACAAAGAAAATCTTTTAATCTACAACGAGGATAAGTGTGTAATGGCTCTTAGTATTTTTCTTTCATATTTTAAAACATTAATGTCAATTTGTTCAACAACATAAAAGTCAAGTTAAAAAATATAGTTACAGCTTTAAAAATAAAACATTGTGTTGGGGGAAGACGTAACATTTTAAAAAAATACTTGAGAGTCTAAATAGAGTTTGTTTTCTTTTTATTTAGTGGTACATTATTTTTATAAACTCTAGGAGATGGTATTTTCTGCAAAATTACTTTATGTGAAGAAAGTTCTGTTTATACTTCCAACAATTAATTAACCAGTTTTCTTTAATAAAGTATCACACTCTTTTTATATAATCTATAATTATTATTATCACTCCTGATAATATGTCTATATTTTTAAGTTAATTTGGTGAATGACTGTAAAGTTCCATATGAATAAAAACAAACTAGTTTGATATGTTTTCTCATATGTTTATATCATATTAAAGAAGTTAATAATGTATAACAATTTTTGTTATCACTTGAGTGATTACATATTATTTATATTATAACTACTGAAATAATACAAAACTAACGTATTGAATAAGCGGTTCAATAAATTCTAATGGAATTATTTTTGGTTTCAAGTAAATTCTTTTTGAAGTATAAAATAAGATAAGCTAAACCAAATTTAAGAAGTTCAGAATGGTAATAAAGTTGATCTTTTCTGCTATATTTCTCTATCTATAATAAAATATTTTCAATTTTGATTATTTCCATTTAATATTTTTAGATGTATTTATTATATTTTCATTTATTGTTTTCACATATATTATTCAAGGATAATATAACTTGTTAATATACATTTACAGTATCACTGAAAATATTATTTTTTAAACAATGTAGCCTAGTCAGAATAAAATTAATTATTCTAAATAATAAAATAACATGAAATTTGTATTGTTATCATAATTTCTAAAGTCTCCAAAAAATAAAATTATAATAAGTTATATTTCTATTCAATCTATTTGATTAGAATATAACTCATGACTTTTCTAAATCTCTTTGTATCAACTGTATTATATGTACGTTTGATATTTCTTCTTCATCTTTACTAAATATTATCATCTATTTAACTTATAACATAATTCACTTGTTCTTGATAACAATAGTAATTGTATTTTTTACAAAAATCTACAACACTATATCAATTTTATTCAATTTGATAGAATAAAATTGTTATGTTGATTATTCAATGAAGTGTAAAAATAAAATAAGGATTTTAACATATGACAAAAACTATCTTTTGATGAACAAATGAATATAGCCTTTATTTATTTAATATAAGCTAATGTTATTTAAAAAACACTAACATTGATGGTGATCTAAAAATCGTTATTTTTTATAAATGCTAAATGTTCTTAAAACAATACTAACAACTCCAACCATTCATTTTATTAAATACTGTAGAAATGCTTAAAAGAATAAAAGATATTAATAAAGAAATGAATTATTTCATAACAAATAATTAATAATTCTGAAAACAAATACAATAGATTGCAATAGATTTTGATAGACTGTACTATTAAACAATCTATTTTTAATTAAACTTAATTTTTAACCATTGTTATTCATTTACTTAATAATATAAATTAAACACTTATACTATAGTATCAATAGATATAAATTATACTTTTTGAAAGTTTATGTTTATTAATTGTTGAGTATATCTCAATAAAAAACCGTCTCTATTTCACCAATAAATAAAAAATACTTCATCTTAACTTAAATAAAAAATTCTAGTAAAGTATTTTTCATTCTTCTTTGTTAATATTATGACAATGTATGTTCAAAGAAAGTTATTTCTGATGTATTTTATCTATAAAACGCAAAAACCCCCACCCTGTTATTTACTTGTTTTTCTGTTTCAAGTCTTTTTCTTGTACTACTAAGAAAAAGAAATAGAATAACAAAAATTTATGTTTTTAAATCAGCTAAAAATAAAAAGAAAAGCAAAAAGAGTTTTTAATAAAATGAACTTTAAAATAGGAAGTAAAAAAAGAAATGAATGGAATAATAATAGTTGTTTTATTGATTGGTGTAAGTTATGGACTTCCAAGACTTGATGATGCATGTTGTTTCCAAAGTAGTGGTGATAGATGTGAGTGTAATAAAGTTTATTCATGTCATATTCCACCAACATATTTTGGTTCTGAACAATATCTTCCACCATGTCCAAATAGTGAATGTAATGACAATTGTGTATTTAGTGGTTTGTTAATTAATTAAGAAATGATATTAATATACAAATGTTAACGTTTGATAGATTGGTTAATATCAATTATTTGTACTGTTGGGGTATTTTTTATTGATTTATTATTTATTGGAACAACGTGGTTGATATGCAGAAGACGATGTGAAGATAGTTAAGTCTATTAAAATTGAGAATTTGTTTAATGTTATTTTTTCGCTTAGTTTTAAGAAAGTATAAAAAGAGATAATCATCAATCAATTACAATATTTCTTCAGAAACACTACTTTCCATAAGAACAACATCATTATCATTATCAACTTCAAACTCAGGTTCTTTCTTTGGTTGTTCTTCTTTACTTTCATCTGAATCACTGTACGCAGTAATATCTCTATTCCATCCAGCATTTTCTAATAAATCAACACCAGTTGGTACATTAACAGGAATATGATATGGATAAGGAAGAGATGAAGGCATTTTTGGATAAGGAGGTTGTTGTGCAACCGTTCCACTAATGAATTTTGCATATTTAATAACTTCTTCAATGGTATAAACGTTATTTTGTTTAACCCTTTCATTCATGTCAACAATCTTTTGCACTTCATCTCTCAATTTTTCAATTTTCTCAATTCTGTCTAACACATCTAAACCAGTTGCAATCATATCCATTGAATATAATACTATTTTTTTTTGTTTTTATATTTTTTGATTTTAAGAAGTAAAAAACAATAATGAAAAGAATGTTTTTATCTGTTTTTTTTTTTTACTTCAGTATAAACAGGTATTTTAAATGATTTTGTTATTTACCTTCATGAAGGAATTGTTAAGGAGTATTTCATTTATTTGTCTTAATGATAGACAAGAGAGAGAGAATAATGAAATGAAAGAAGAGAGAAATGAATTTGTAATGAGAATGAAAAATTGAACTTTTCTGGGTTGTCCAAAAATACAAGGAACTGAATAACCCATTTCGACCTGAAATGAGTTTGGTCGTTTCAGAAAGTAAAAGTAAGTTAAGTCGGAGACATAAACCTTTTTTCGCACGAGGGTCGAATTCACGTGCAACTGAAAGTTCAGAATTGAATACAGGAACTACACAAACAGAAACAACAACTACTACAACTACATTAACAACATCACATTTTGAACAAATGACAATTCCTACTACATCAAATGAATATTTAAAAACAAATCAAATTGAGTTAACATTCTCAAAAGTACCATTAATATTAGAAACATCATTTAAATATAATGAAACTATTCTTCATTTATTACCACCACCACCAAAACCCTTAAGACAATATACTACATTAGAATTAATAAATTGGATTAAACCAAATGCTCCAAAAGAATTTTGTGAATATATTTTAACAAAGAAAATTAATGGAAATACAATAAGAAAATTAACAAAAAGAAAATTTTCACGACATGGTTGTAGTATTAAACAATCTGTTGAATTAACAGAAAAAATAAAAGGATTTGACCGAGAAACATCTTTTGGTTGTTTGTTTTTTACATTTAAATTTTTATTTAAAATTCTTTAAAAATGGTAATAAAAGAAAAAGAAGATAAAGAGAGAAAGAAGAAATACTAATTAAATAGTAATTGTCTTAGAAAATTTAAATTTTAGTGATTGTTTAGTAAGAGAAATGTATAGATTTACTGAAGGATTTAAAAAGAAAGAAATTGTTAAATTAAATTCTTTTGATTATTATAAAGGAATAACATTAACATTCATGGCATTAACATATTATTTTGCACAAAATGAAGCAATTCTTACATTAGAAAATTTAAAAGAAATAACAGAACGAATAAATGAAGAAAATCCATTTGATAGGATTGTATCTACAACTCAAAACAAAATGATTATTAACAGAACATTTTCATTCTTAAAAACAATGATTGAATCAGAAACAAGTGTTTTTTATTATTTTAAAGAAGAATTGATTGATTATATAATTAATTGTATTGCACCAGGACTTGATCCAATTCCATTTAGATGTCTTTTAAAATTTAGTAAAAAAGAAAATAATAGTCATTGTATATTTGAAAGTGATGAAACATATGCAGGAGAACAAATTATATTATATTATAAAGAAGTACTTATGCCAATATATATGTTACCAATTAATGAAACAATAACAAATCTTGATAAAAGAGAATGGGAGAATGGAGAACTTGCAGTTACTAATTATAGAATGATGTGGATACCATATAATACAACTATATTTCAAGATAAAATGAATTGTTCTTCATTTTATCAAATTCCTATTAAAAGTATTCAACAAAGTTCTCTTAGTGAAAGTAGTAAAGAAAAAGAGAAAGTTTATTTAATTAGAATGTTATCATACACATCTCAAATGATTACATTTGGATTTAAAAATATAGAAAATGCAAATGAAGTACAAAGTACTGTTCAACAACTTGAAAAGAAACAATATTGGATTGATGAATATGATGTATATTGTAATGAAATTTGTATTAAAAATAATAGTAAAAGAATATATAAAGAACTTAAAAATAATAAAGATTTAATATTAAAACCTATTGGATGGAATGATGAAGAATATATTTATTATTCTAAAAGAGAGTGTAGTAAATTAATATTAATAGATGAAAGTGAAAAAGGAGGAAGAATTTTTAGAATTGAAATTAATAATGATAAAAATGAAATAAATAATAAAAGAATTAGTGAAAATATTCAAGGAGAAATTATTGATTTAAGTTATTTAGATGATAAAATACTTGAAGAAGAAATGAATAATTATTATAGGTTTATTACAAAAATTAAAAAAGAACAAATAGATAAAATGTATAATAAATTAACATTTATTAGTGATGAAATGAAAAAAATAATGAGTTGTTTTTTTGATATTATTCCAAGGTTTAAACAAGGATATTCTTTTTGTTTTATTGGTAAAGAAGATCAAACTGAATCATGTGGTGTTTCTGCTTTATTTCTAATTATTACAAATAAATATTATAGAACATTTAATGGATTTTTAGAATTAATTCATACCCAATTTGTTTGTTCAAAATATTTTCAAGTTGTATATTCAAAAGGGTATCATCCATTTAATTTTTGTATATTTTTACATATGATTAATTGTATAATGTATTCATATCCAACAATCTTTGAATTTACTCCTTATCTTCTTTCATTTTTAACTTATCATACATTTTCTCATAGATTCAGTACAATATCTTCTCAAAAAAATCCAACTCAATCATTATATTCATATCTTCTTAATCATAAAATTCAATTTATTAAATCAGATTTCGATAATTTTGCATTTGATATTATGGAATATTGGCCACAATCTATTGTTTTATTACAACCTAATTTATTTATTGACTTTATTAATTATACTAAAGACAAAAATCCAATTCTTTCAATTCAAAGTAATTCTTCAATAGATCTTTCTAATTATTATTTAACTTCACTTCCTCATTATCTTTGGCAAAAAATACAAAAAGAACAAATTCAAGTAATGAATTTAAATGGAAATCAAATTCCTTTTATTCCTAATGAAATTGTAACTTTACCAAATTTAAAAGAACTTCAAATGAAAAATAATACAATTCAATATATTCCACAATGGCATTTATATCATTTAACAAATCTTACTTTCCTTGATATATCAGAAAGACCAAATAATGAAGCTAGTCAATATGAAATGATAACATTTGATATATTATGTCATTTAAAATATTTAAATATTTCAAATAGACCACTCTCTCCTGATATTTCATTTCCATTATCTATAAGAACTATTGTTGCAACAAATAGTTTTGAAACATTACCAAATAAAATGACAAAACTAACAAATTTAATTTCATTAAATTTATCATATAATCCTAAAATTAATACAAATCAAGTACTTCAATTAAATAAATTAAAAACATTAAAAATGTCATATTGTAATAAAACTAGAATTCCTAATTTGATTTCTACTATGACTAATCTTACATTATTAGATTTTTCTTATAATATTATGAAAGGATTACCATTAGACCTTTTTAATCTTACTAATTTATCAATTTTAGATGTTTCACATAATAATCTTCAATATCTTTCTCAACTACACACAAAATTAATTCAATTACAAACATTAAAAATTGATGGAAATTCAGATATAAAAATACCTCAAACACAAAAAGATCATATTAAATCAATACCACAAATACAAACAACAATATTTGAAACACCATTACATATTTTATCTGATAATAAAGGAATTGATTTATTTAAAAAGTTTTATAGTGAATTTAAAAATAGTAAATCAGATAATATTAAATTATATGAACAACTTCCAATTGATGATGAACCTAAAGCTCATCACTTTTTATTACAATATCATGATTTTAATAATCGAATTGGATTTATTCCACCAATATCAGATTGTTATATTATTATTTTATCATTTGATAGATGGAGAAGTGTTTTATCTCATTGGAAATATTATTTACAAAGAGTATTACCAAATGATGAATCAATTAAAATGAGAATAATGTTTTTTGTTGAAAATAAAAAAACAGCAGAAGATCAAAGTGCAGTAGATTCTATAAAGAAACAATTATTACCATGGCAAAGTGATGTTATTGTTTTAACATTAAAAAGTAAGAAAAAATTAAATATTGAATCAAAACTTAAGAAATTAATTAGTGATTTTAAAGTAATACCAAATGTTTATAATGAATCAATATTAAAAGTTGCTAAAGAAATAAAAATGGCTACATTTGATCCACCAGTTATTAAAGAAGGTCAATTATATAAAATTATTAATCAATTTAACTTAGAAGGAAATTTTCATACTATTATTAATGCATTACATCAACTTGGAGTAATTATTAGTGTTTCTAGAAGTATTGATAAAAAACAAAGAGTAGAAAATAAAATAAATATGTATAATCTCTTATCATTAAATAGTACAAATTCAAATTTAGTTATTGTAGATTTAAGTATCTTTGAAAATATTAATTTTTATCTTGAAAAACAAGCTCAAAATGGATTTGGATTTATTGAAAATATTAAAGAAATTATTCATTCATATAGAGGAATGAGTCCTGACACTATTAATGTTATTATGTATTTTATTCAAATGTTTTATGATGTTTTTATTGTCAGTGATGATTTTCTTAATAAATTTGGATTACAAGAAAAATATGAAGAATTTGTTTCTGTTCATTCAATTACAAGAATTGATATATTGTCAAGTCTTTATTCTCATCAAATTAATAAACTCCCTACAAAACGATCAAAATTTAATCATATGATTAATAGATCTCTTTCTACTGCAATTGAAATTCCATCGTTTAGTCAAGAAGATGAAATTCATTCTACTTGTCGTACACCTGCAGCATCAACTAGTCAACCAATACATATATCAAAAACTTTATATTTTCAACCAAGACTTCTTCCTCATATTGAACCAATTACATTAAATGAATATTGGCCAAAATTTCATGATACAAAAGAAATGGATTTTGGAAGAGTTATTAATTTTCAATATATTCCACCAATCTATTTTGCATATTTTATTTTTATTGCACTTATAGAAGGATTAAGTATTACTAAAGTATTTATGAATCAATGTATTTTAACAAAAATAGCATATGAACAACATTTTTATTTTTATATTGAATGTAATGAACATCAATTTACTATTAGAACGAGATATCGTGCTGCAACTGTTAATTCTGTATTAGTAGCTGCAGAATTAATGGAAGTATTATTAGATTCATTTTATAAAATTCATGATGAATTATTCCCTACATTAGAATATGATGAATTAATTCTTTGTCCAACTTGTTTAATTTTAGGAGTAGATAAATGTAGTGCTATTCCTTTAAAAGAAATTAATGAAGCAATTTTAAAGAATAAAGAAGTAATTAGTTTTGGAGAATGTCATACTTGTATGGTATCAACATGTAGCTTAGATCTTAGTTTAAAAGATTTAAGAAAAAAACAACAAAATAAGTTGTTTTCAGTTGAAATAAATAGAAGTGAATTAACTAATGAAAATTTACTTGGAATAGGAAGTACTGCTAAAGTTTATTCTACTATTTATAATAATAAGAAAGCTGCTATTAAATTATTTTCTTTTGAACCTTCTCAATTTTCTAGTGAAAAAGGAAAAGGAGGAGCAGCACATCTTGTGTCTAAAAGTATTACTGAATTAAAAAGAGAAATTTGTATTATGAATTTAATAGAATCACCTTATATTCTTAAATTATATGGAATTTCTTTTGATCCATTAGCATTAGTTATGGATATATGTGACAAAGGAGATTTACATGAATATATTAGAAATAAAAATAATGATCTTTCATGGCCAATTATGTTACGTTTTGCATATCAAATAGCAAGTGGAATGGCATCATTACATAAAGAATTAATCATTCATCGTGATTTAAAAAGTCCAAATATTTTAATTAAAACAAATCAACAAGGTGAATTAACTTGTGTTATATCTGATTTTGGACTTAGTGGAACTTATAATGAAGAAGAAAAATATTTTGTAGATAATCCAAGATGGGTAGCTCCTGAAGTATTAATTAATAAACCATTTACATTAGCAGCTGATGTATATAGCTTTGCCATTATATTATGGGAATTATTAGCAAGAGAAGAACCATTTAATGATTTTAAATTTCCATCCCAATTAAGAACATCTATTATTACTGGATTAAGACCAACTATTCCTAACTCTCCTTATATAAGATATAAAGAGTTAATTCAAAAATGTTGGAGTCAAGATCCTATTTTACGACCTCCATTTTCTGAAATTGTTGATAAACTTTCATTATTTAGAAAAATGGTTGAAAAAGAATTTGAAATATTACCAGTTTCATAACCTTTTTTAAAGGATTAAAATAAAAATTATTATGTTTTAATTGAAAATATTTGTTTTATTACTTTTAATTTGATTAAAGAATTTCAATTATCTCACTACGAACGAAAAACTTCCCTGCTTCAATAATCTTTACACGAACTGATTTCCCTAATAAATTTTCATTTTCACAATGTGGAACAATAACTTGAACAAAAGAAATATCATGACCTGCATAATTAATTCCATCATGTGCCATTTCATTAATCCAAACAACACACTCTTTTCCAACTAAATTTGTATATGGTAAATAACTATCAAATAATTCAGTTACTTCTCTACTTCTTTGTTTAACAATTTTACTATTAATTTGTTTCATTTTAGCTGCAGGTGTTCCTGGTCTGATATACATTTGAGAAATATTAACAACTGGAAATTTATGTTTTTCAATACATTCTAATGTTTTTTTATGATCTTCATCAGTTTCTGTAGGAAATCCACAAATAATATCAGTTGCAATACTAATCCCTGGAACAGCTATTCTAAGTCTATTACAAACATCATCAAATTCTTCTCGAGTATATTTTCTTTTCATTGCATCTAATACTGATGTAGATCCAGATTGAATTGGAATATGTAAAAATTTAAAACAACATGGACGTAATAAAATATTAACTATTTCATTAAAATACTTAATAATATATGGTGGATTAACCATTCCAATTCTCAACATTGCTTTCCCATCTACAACTTCACAAATACGTTCTAACATATGTGGAAATGTATCATTAATATCTAATCCATATGCTCCAATATCTTCTCCTGTTAATCTAATTTCTTTCACTCCTTCATCTACAGATTGTTGAACCCTTTTAACTAATTCTTCAATTGGATAACTTCTCAACCCTCCACGTGCATGTTTAGTTTTACAATAACTACATGCATTCTCACAACCTGTACATGTCACTATAATATCAATTAATGGATTACTTCTTACATGATCATCAATATCAACTAATGCACCTCGTTCTAAATAACTTTGTCCTTCATTATGAGTTGCTTTTTCTACTGCCTCTGTAATTTTATGAAGTTGATCAACACCAACAATAGAACATTTTTTAGAACAATGACATGCTTTGGGATCAGCTTGTGGAACACATCCTGCAATGACTAATGGAACATTAGCTTCTTCACATTTCTTTTGAACAACATCAATGGCTTGTTGTGATGGATTCTTTACTGTACAACTATTAATTACTACAGCTTTATATTTTGAACTGATTGGTGTTGAACTTGAATCTATTTTATAACCAGCATTTATTAAATCTTTTTGCATAACCTCACTATCACTAACATTATGTGAACATCCATATGTGAGAAATTTGATGGTTCCTAATTCTTCAATATCAGCCATTCTTCACTTTTTATTGTTTATATTTTAGTAATTTTCTTTTTATTCTTTTTTACCCTTTTTTTTTGTTTCATTCCTTTTTTTTGAGTCTTACCATTTATTCATCATTAACCTCAACCACTTAAATTCTCAAACAACCTTTGTCTTTCCTTCTTCTCTCTTTATTTGTTTAAACCATCACTTTAACCTTCTCATGAGATTATTATGTTATATATAACACTATACTATTTTAATAACGTTTCATTATTATTTCAACTCCTTTCAACTTAAAAATGGAAACTATAAACTCAAAAAGAATGTCTGTTTGTTTGAATAATGTATTTCAGTGAAATGAGAAGATATTCTTATTGATATAGCTTGAAAACGAAATTAGTCAATTAATTGAAGCATTTTATAATTTTGACAAAGATCAAGTTTGTTGTTTTATATTATTTATATGATGGGGTGATTGTTTTTATAACGTTATAATAAAAAACTTCAAAATACTCACATTGGTAGGATGGTTTTATTACAATTGATGAATTAAAAAGTATTCTTATGGATCAAGGCATGTGTATTTCCAATGAAGAAGCAGATGAAGCTGTAAAAGAAGCAAACCCAGATGCTGATGGGTATATTGATTATAAAGCATTTGCTCGTTTCCTTGTTGAAGCTTGTCGTGAATAATTTATTTCCTTTCATTATTTCTAATTTTGTTTTTTTTTACAAACCAACTGAAATTCTATTTTAAAGGTTATATAAAAATAAATAGGATTTCTTCATGAATGGGGTTGAGTTACACACCCCAAGTAAGGTTATTGTTTTTATGTTATTTTTCTGGGTTTTGAATAAAAATTGTTTAACTAGGTTTGAGTGTCAATGATTTTTTCTTTTGTATAAGGAGTTTTTGTATTTGTTGGATTTAACATATTGCCTATATTTATTCGTTTCAATTCACAATTTTTAGATTCTTATCAAAAAAAATACTAAAAAAAAAACAAGAATAGATAGAAAACAAAAAAGTTAATGATCAAAATTATTGTCATCATCAATAGCAACAATATCTGTAATATAAATGTTTCGTATGATATGGGCATTTTGAATCATTTCTTTAATTTCTGGTTTCAAAATTCCTTCTGTTAAAACTACACCATCTTGGCAACAGAAGAGTTCTGGCCAATATCCATGGCACTTCTTCATAAACTGTTCTCGTAATACAGCTATCTCTTTTTTCTTAATTTGTTTTTGTGGACGGTCTATATATTCAACAAGTTCTTCCCAAGTTTTGTTGTCCATGTTGAACACTTTTCTCCATTCTTCAATATAATTTATGTTCTGCCTAACAAAGCATTGCTCAAAAATGGAAGGAATCCATTGATGAAGTTCTAATAAGTTGTATGCGGTTGCAAACAAAACAGCATCTTCTACGTCTGAAATATACATTAATTGGTTCTTTGCCTTCTCATGGGTTAGTCCAATTATTTGGACATTATTATAAAATATTTGAAGAGCTAGTAAGTTTATTTGTTGTCCACATTTATTTGCCCAATAATATTCTTGTCCATTACAGAAGAACCCTGCTGCTTTAGTATAACAAGACATAGCCTCTAGTATGTCTGAATATGCGTCATCAACACAACCTTTTTTACTACCCATTTTCATTATGGCAGTGTCAACAATTTTCTTTGCTTTATTAAAGAATAAATTACCCCCTTCAATGGAGTCATTAAGATATGAATATGTTTCAGCAAATAATGTTTCATATAATGGATTTGAAGTGATTCCTATTTCATCCTTAATTTCTGCTAGATCTGATTGATAATACAGTAAAGTTTCAAATGCATCTTTTTGGTCATGTTTAGGTAAAATCACTCTATAGTCAACATCTTTGTCTGTCATTGCTTCAGAAATAAAGTATTTGACGAGTGTAGTTGGGGAATCATGTAACCGTGGAATACGAATATCATCATAAGCTTTTGTTCTAGTAATAACACGTACAAGATAAGAATGATTATGTGGAATTAAGAAAACTACTAGACTCTTTTGAATCTTTGTTAACACTTCTTTCATTAATTCAGTTGAGTTAGCATTTTTTGCAGCGGTGTGACACAAAATTAATGCCTCAGCAAGGGTGTTTATTGTAGTAACATTTTCTAAAAGATTTAGCATTGGCTTAACAATATCAGCAACCTTAGAAAGAATATTTAAATATGCTAGAATGTTTGGTGTAGACCATCCAATAACACATACTGGTTTAATTGTATTTGTTATTTCAATAAAATTATTTGCCAATAATCTACCTAATTCATTTTGATCAATTCTTTCTGCTTCAACAAATCTTTTAGCATCTTCAAATACTTTACTCCATTCTACAACTTTATTGGAATATTTCGATACAACTTTAGGCCCACAAATAGTTTGTAAAAAGTCAATTGCTTTAGCATTGTAATCAGCTGAACTAGTTAGTACAACCAAAACTAATGATTTATCTTCGAAATATTTATGAATCATTTCATATCGTATTTTTAGTAATTCTACAATTGGGTTGATGTGTGTTGTTCCTTTATAAATAGAATTAATTTGTTCAATTCCTTCTTCTAATTTCATTGTATATGATTGTGCACTAGTAATAAATTTAAGTACTTCATTAAATACTTCTATTTCTTCTGCGTGAACTGTTTCATTCATTTGTTGAGCCAAAGTATAATTAGAAGTATTTAATACGTAATAAACACTTTTAACAGTTGGGTTAATTAATGCCTCAACAGGGACATGCTCTCTAACTGCTTGTTGATATGTAGCTAAGATTTGTTTATTTTCTGCATGCATTTGTAAGATATTTCCATTTGAGTTTTGTCTTTCTAATACATCAAACCATTGTTCTTTAAGTTCCATTATTTCTACAACTTCGATATTAATAGTTTGATAATTTAACTCATTTCTTGTTTTAACTAATTGGTCAATATGTTCTTGATAGTACTGGATTGCTTCTAATGCGGGTGCTTTTCTTCTTTGAAGTAGTTCATCAATAGATTTCCAGTTTTGTTTACCAACCATTTGGTTTGCTTCTTTTTCAATAACTTTAAACAAAAACCTTGGTTCGAATTCATTAATGTGATGATATGTTTCTTCAAAATATCTTGCATTAGTCATTTTTTCAATAAATTCAATTGGACTTTCTATCAGACTTAATGAGAGTTGTGTCTTTTCAATAAGCTCAATGATATTACAATATTTTTTAATCTTTAATTTTACACTCTCTCCTAAATTCTTTCCTTTCAAATATCCTATCAACTTTTCTAATCTCATTGGTGATCGTTGTTGCCACCAACTAACAACGATATCAAGACAGTCTTCAATAACACTCTTTCTCCACTCTTCATTTCCTATCATTCCATATTTTAAATCCATTTGTTCTGAATTAGATTCTATGTCTTCAAAATTAGTTTGTGAAATCAATCCACATATATCAAAGAAATGTCTCAATGCATTTGTACAATCAAATAAGAAAAAGCCTAATCTTAACAATCTACAACTACAATCCTCTTGTACCATTTCTATAATACGATCTTTTGTTGAGTTAATAGTCTTATTTGAAGATCCTATAAAAATAGAAAACGCTTCTAATGGTGAGTCTTCTAATAAAATTGTTAATAGTCCACGCTCACTACTTATCTTTGACAATGCTCCAATAGCATTCGAAATATGTTTTGCGATTGAAACATCCCCACTATACTGAATTAGAAGATCTTTAACATCACTCCATTTATATCCATGTTTATCAGCAAAGATTAGCATCTCTAAAAATGCTTGTTTTCTTGAAAGTATTTGAAGTTGCATTGGTCTTAATGGGACTTGGAAAATGTTGCATAAATATCCTAGTCTGTCCCATCCTTTTGTTGGTGGATATGATGATCCCATTAATTCATCATAACATTTGACAAATTCTTCTTTAATTTCAAAATTAGATTCAAAAAGTAAATGGTAGTCAATCATATTTTCATTTTTAATAGACTGGAGTGATGGGTAATGTTTAAAAATATAATCGTATTGAGTTTGAAGGTCTTCATGTAAAACAGTGACAAGTTTGATATATGGATTATTTGAGATAAACGAACAACACGTCCTTACTTCAGAGTCATTTGCCACAATTAATTCACATAACTTCTTATCAGTAATTTTTTGATTCATTTTTGCAAAAATACATTGTTTTTGAGTCAAATAATATTCACAACTTAACCAATTCTTTCCTTCAGGAATTGATTTCCGTGGAACAAATCCAAATGGTCCTTCTATTAAAGGATCATAAACTCTTTGAAATGTATTAGAATATAATTGTGTTAATGAAAGATCGCCGTTTGTTGTTGTTAGATGACAAATACCATTTAATTTAGACGATGAAGCACTTTCAGTTTTAGTATTTTCTTCAAAGAAAGCATTGAGAATATTAGATAATTGTGGTTTTGACAATAATAGATTAAATACAGGTTCTTTTAATTTTCCATCCATAGGAAGTGGTGCATCCAAATGTTTTAATGTGTTCATTAATATCGCTTCTTCATATGAAGAGTGTAAGGCATGAATTTGATTCATCCACATTACAGGGAATTTTGTAATTTTCATTCCTTCAATACAACTATCAATTAATGGTAAATTATTAATAGATTTATATTCTTCAACAATTGTTAGTGCTTGTTTTTCACTAATAGAAGGATGAGGATGAATAAGCAGTTCTTTTTGATCTTTAAGACATTCACTATCTGGTTTGAATGTATTTTCTTCAATAAAATCTTTAATAACTCTTTTTGATGGGTCAACACAATAATATTCAACAAGCCTCCATAGTGTTTTTTTATCTTCTTCTCCTTTAATTAAATCAAGATGCTCTTTAATCCACTCTTTCACTTTATCTTCTTTGTTATGTGAAATAAAATACTTAACTAATTCCCATTGATCTACACAACATTCATTTTCTCCACACTCTGCTAAAATAAATGATTTATCTCTATCGTTTGCATTAATAATATCATTAACTCGAACAACACAAAGTTCTTTCTCATCAAGCACAGGAAGAATGTCTGATGTAATTCCATATTTTTGTGCGATTTTTGTTGGTATATCTCCATCAAAAGGAGAAATTTCTTCTATTCCTTTAACAATTGACACGTCGTATTTTCTGTTTAATTTTGTATGACTTCTATGATCATAAGTGTTAATAAAATCAATGTCAAATTGATTCAAATGGGGATCAATCTCATAATACATTTCAATACAAGATTGCCTTAATAAACTATTAGTAGTATTCATAATAAGAGTCAACAACATTTTACTTAAATCTTCAATGCCTATTCTTAATGCAATTTTAATAGCAATGTCATGTTTTCCTTCTTGTGCCTTTTTCATACACAATGCTTGTCCTTTAATAATTAAGTCAGAATCCTTTGTTTCATTAGAAGGGATATTCCCATTAAGGATAATATCTTCAAAACTTAATTTCTTATTAGTACATTTTAAGTCTATCATTTTCAATGTATTATTAATTTCTTGTTTTTTATGATCAAACTCCTCTCCAAAAACTTTTTTTACTTTTTGACATCGTTGTTCACGACTTTCTCTTCTAATTTTTTCATCTGCACTACCAATCTTCCTTATTGCCTCACCGAGCATATCTACATTTTCCATCAAGTCATGTTGTGCAATAAATTTACAAGCCTTAAGACAAACCTGAATAATATCACGAGGTGTTTCTATTCCTAAATGATCAACAAAAATTTTGAGTGCAGCACTAAGTAATTGGTTGTCATTTTTTTCAATCAATTTATCAACAGCTTTATCTACTTCTGAAGAATCAACTGTCTCTAAAGCATGTTCTAATGTAATAAGAATCCTTGAATCAGCTGAATCAACAGCAAATTGAGGATTTAAATCTGTAATATAATTGATTAATGAGCCAAATCCACCATTAATTAATGTTAATAACATTCTTCTTGAATCACCACTAACTGCAGCAATTAATTTGTTATCACTAATATAAACAGGAAAAATTGTATCACCTACAAGTTGAATTGAGTGTTGGTCAATCCTCTCTTCTGAACCTACACGTGATAAAATAAATTTGTTTGTGAATTTTTGAATGATATAAATACCAGTTTGTGAAACAAAAATCTGTTCTGATAATCCAGATTGTTCAAGATCATATGAAGTAAATGTCAAAGGATTTTTTGAATCCATTTCTAATAGTTCTTTGTAAGGCTCATCTGTTAAATGAGTTATTGGAGTAAAAACTATTACTTTCTTTCCATTACAAAAAACAAAGTTTTGAAGTTCTTTTGAAAAAGAGAAAGAACGTAAATCATTAAATGTTGTTGTAAGAAATGAGAGATAAACATGAAGATGATGTGGCTCCTCTGGTGACAAAATTGAAATTTCACCATTTTTATGAATAAATAAAGATAAACGATGTGCTGAATTAAAACAAATGATATCATGTAATGTTACAGAGAAGAGTCGAAGTGAAGTGTCATATATATTAATATCAAATGAATGTTCATTTTCTAAAGGAATTATAATAATAAAGGCATTTCTATAACTATCAATAGTACATACTTTATCTGAAACAAGTGTTTGAAGAACAAAATTTGAATTTGAATGAGGTTCATATATATACAGTCTATCTGAAGATTGATAAATTAAGTTTTCGGATTTATTTAAAATTGCCCAATTATATGATTGAACTTTTTCAATTGTCTTTTCAAATGAGTTAATCAAAGAGATGATATGAAGTTGTCTGTTTTTTTCTAAAATCGAAATATAGTTTTGATTTGGAGATATCTTAACATTTTCATATTCGTATCCAACTAATTCTTTAAAGGTATGTATGACAATTTCCTTCATCCTAAATTAATCATTTTTTACAGTTCTTTTCACCAGAATCTTCTAATTTCTTTTTTTTTCTCATGAATAATTAAATCTTAAAAAAATAAAAAAAAAAACTAATTCTATTAAAACCATTAAAATTGAGATTTAATCTTCTTTTTCTTTTTTTGTTTGCTCTGATGCTTTGTTCTCAACTTGATAATCTCTAATTGGCATTAAGGTTGGAGGGATAGTCACTTTCTTTCCTTGTATTAATGCAATAGTACTACAAGTAATAAATCCAATTAATCCAAGAATGCTAGTCATAAAAAGTCCAGTATTTCCTGTGAGTAATGAAGTAACTCCACAAACAACAGCTATAAATAAAGATCCAATTAACCCATAAATAATAATTTTATTCATTCCTTTAAAATGATATTTAGTATTAGTTCCTTCACAATTACCTAAGAATACATTCATATGATCGGTTGTTTCTCCGTCATAAAAATTGTTAATAAAGTATCTTAAAATACTATTTGTTCCATCATTAATTAATCCCATTTTTGTTCGTTTACCAGTTCGAGTAATATCATTCTTCAATGCACATGTCCCTGTATATTGTTTACTCATTTGGTCACCATTATCAGCCCATAAATTTACAAACATAGCATTTAAACAAGCATTATCAGTAATCTTGTCTTGATCCATTAAAATATTATTCTCTTTTTCTTTTAAGAATTGTTCAGCAGTTAACCTTCCAAAGACACTTTCACAAACATTAGTTCTATCTAAATTATCAACACAATTTACTCTAAACACTCCTTTTTGTTCATGTTCTTTAGAGTTAATATTCCATTGACACCAGCTAAAATCATTTTCTTTATAAATAGTTTCCATGTAATTCATTAACTCTTTCATATTTTTCATTAACTTATGAAAATCAACTCGTTTTAATTGTATGTCTTGATCATTCATTTTATTAACATATTCTTCATATTTATCTCCTAAACTCTTTTCTCCTCCTTTTAAATCAGTTAATGAAACAGCAGTAATTTTTTTATATTGTTTTTTAATATTCTCAAAATGATTCTTAAAAGCTTCATAATTCTCCTCTTCATTTTGACTAATTGCAATTTTTGGTTTATATTTAATATTAGGAATTTGAGACCATAATAATGGAATACTTCCTCTTATTTGAACATAACTACAATATTTTTCACCAACACGAATTATTTGTTCAGTTTCTACATAATTAGCAACTTCACCATTTTGTTCTGCACCACGGACATAATACCTTCTTCCTACACGTTGATTAGATCTTCTACTAATAAGAATTAATTCAACTTTTTTAATTACTATATTACTTTTTACTTCAGGTTCTACAGCACACTCACTTCTTCCTATAAAACCTTGAATGATTGGAAGTCTCATCATTTCTGGGAGACTTTTAATCATTTTATGATTCCATACAAATTGTAGATTACATCTATCAAATACAGTACCTTGAGAAGAAGGTTGTGTTTGATATGAACGGGTTAAATCATAAGTATAAGAAAAATAGAATGATGGAATAGAAAGAGTTGATGATATAACATTTTTATGATATTCTCTAAAAGATTCTTCTTCATGTTCAGTAATTGGGAAAATATCATATCCTTCAATTTGATAAAATTTATGTTGAAGGAATTTTGTAATTAATTTCTTTTTAGTAATAACAATAAGACAATTACTTTTTTCTAGTTCATGAATTCCAATAATTCCTTCTATTTCAATTTTTTCACTTCCTTCAGGAATTTTACATTCTTCAAAACTTATTTTTTGATTCTTTTTATTAATTTTCAATGCTTTGTTATTATCAGTGATTGATGGAAATATTATAATTTCATCACTTAAATTATATAATTCATAATGTTCTATAATACTAGTCATTAATTGAACTTCTTTTATTATTTTTTAGTTATATTATTTTTTTACCTTTTTCTTTTTTTTTTTTGTTATTAAAACATATAAAATTTTTTTTGATTTTTTACTCAAATTACTAACTATTTAAAGTTTTTATAATAAAAATATATTTAAAACTATAAGAAAAAAAATAATAATTAAACTGATTAAAAAAAAAAAAGGGGTAAAAATAATCTAAAAAAGAATTAAAAAAAAGTCTATAGAAGTAAGCTTTTATTCTATTTAATTTTTTTTTGGAAGAAATTTTAATTTTTATATTTTAAAAAATATTATTTTTATAAGACTGTTTGTTTCCCAATGATTAAAATAAAACTAAAAAAGGTTTTATCTTACAAAGAGGATGAGTTGTATTTCACAAGTACAAAAACCTCTAACATTACTACTTACTCATGAAATTCAAAATACATATTTATGTTGCAAAGAACAAAAGAAAAATACACAAAATAAAGCTAAAACAAGAATAGATAAAGATGGACATTTACTTTGGAGAATTAATGAAGTATTAGCAAATAGATACCAATTAATAAAAGGACTTGGAAAAGGATCATTTGGACAAGTAATTCAATCGATTGATTTAGTAACAGGAGAACAAGTTGCTTTAAAAGTAATAAGAAAAGATAAAAATTTTTATGAACAAGCGAAATTAGAAGTTCAAATATTATATTTATTAAATTCTCGTGATCAAACAAACAACTCTAAAATTGTTCGTTTAAAAGATACATTCAATTTAAGTGGACATTTTTGTATGGTATTTGAATTACTTTCATACAATTTATATGATTTTTTAATGAAAAAGAATGGCTCATTAGGGCTATCATTAGTAAGAAGATTTGCATTTCAAATATTAAGTGCATTACATTTTTTACAACAACCTGATATTAGAGTAATTCATTGTGACTTAAAACCTGAAAATATTGTTTTAGTATCACCAAATAAAGCTGATATTAAAATTATTGATTTTGGTTCTTCATGTACACCATCTACTCATATGTACAAATATATCCAATCTAGATATTATCGTTCACCTGAAGTAGTTATGGGATTACCTTATTCTCATCCAATAGATATGTGGTCTTTAGGTTGTATTTTACCAGAATTACTTACAACTGAACCATTATTTCCTGCTCGTTCTGAAGTTGAATTACTTGTAATGATGGGAGCATTACTTGGAATGCCTCCTAATTCAATGATAAAAGAAAGTCATCGTGCAAGAAAATTATTTATTCCTCATGAAAATGATGAAAATTATGATTTTCATCCAACTCTTCAACCTCTTTATAATAAGAAAAAGAAATTACGAAACATTATTGGTGTTGATATTGGTGGACCTTTAACAAGAACTCCAGGTGAACGAATGGAAAGAGATGAACTTGAAAAGTTCTGTGATTTATGTCTTAGAATGCTTTCTTTTGATCCTAATAAAAGAATCACTCCTAGAGAAGCTCTTGCTCATCCATTCTTTCAAAGTGGTATTATTAAAGAAATCAATCCTTTATTTAAGAGAGAAGAACAGAAAATGGAGGAAGAGCCACTTGTTAATGTTGAAACTGTGAATGATAGTAGTAGGCCAATGTCAAGATAATTTGTCTTTTTTTTATCAACCTTTCATTTACTTTCCTTTATCTTTTTTTTTCATTAATAAATGACATTAATATCTTTATTGATGTATGTAATATTTTTATTTAAACCCTCTTTTTTCTTTTAAGGTTATTAAGTTTAAATTGAATCTTTGTTATTCTATTGAAAAATGTTATTTCTTTAGTTTTAATATTCGTTCAAACAGAAGATAGAAAAACCAGTAAGAAAAAGATATAAATCAATATAGTTAAGAAAATAATAAAATGAATAATAAAATTTAAAAAAAAAATAGAGTTTTAAGAACTGGAATTATTTCGAATAAGCCATATTCAAAAACCAAAACAAAAGGAAAAAAACAACGTTAAAAAATAAGTTTTGTTTTTAGTAAAAGAATAACATTTTTTACTATTATTTATAGTAAAAACAGTTTTTCTCTTTTTAACTAAACATTTAAAGGATTAAAAAAACTTAAAAATCAAATAACATTTTCATATGAACCTTCTTGTTAGACATTCAGAAGATCCTATGTATATTCCTGGAGAAGACAAAATAAATGAACCAATACAAAAAGAAAAAAAACAAGGAATTAAAAAGACGTATTCAGTTGGTGATCATATACCTGAAGTATATGAAAGTAATTCTCACTCAGTAAAAAAAACGTTAAAATCATTACATCCCTCTAGAGCAATTAGTGGAGTTAAACTTGTTACAAGAGAAGTTAATGGTGAAGTTAAACGAGTAAGTGAATTAACAAATACATTATATAGAAGATTAGCACCAATAAAAGAATTAATTGAGACAGAAAAGTCATATATTGAAACCCTTGCAGAGTTAATTAATAATTATATGATTCCTTTACAAAAAAATGGATTAATTACAGAAAAACAATATAAAACTATCTTTTGGGAAATTCTTCCAATTTATCATATTAACTGCATTTTTCTACATCGATTTGAACGGTATTATGGTACTATTAATTCTATTGACCGTACAGAAGAAGAAGATAGATTTGGAAAGTTTTGTCTTTGGTTTTCATATGTTTGTGATTTTTTAATGATATATGAAAACTATATCTATAATCTTCCTTTGGCTCAAAAAGTGATTAAAGAAGAACGACTCAAAAATAAAGCATTTAATACATTTCTTAATAATAATACACAAAAATCAGAACGACATTATGACATTTCCTCATTAATGGTTGCACCACAACAAAGAATACCTCGATATAATTTACTTTTTCAGGATATGATTAAAAGAACTCCATTAGTTAGTAATAACATATTTATTGTACAACACATAGTTGATAAAATTACTCGTATGACAAATAAAATTAATAGACTTATTGGTGAACGAGAAGATATGAGTAGACTAAGGGAATTATTAAATAATGTAGAAGGATTAAATGATGCTGCTATGGGAAATTTTGTTATTCAAGGAAGACTCCTTGAAAAATCATTTAATGTACATTATTGGAGTAATACTAAAACAATAGTAAAAAG